GAATCTTTTATGTGGTATAGTCGGACAGAAAGAGGGAGGCGATGAAGAGGAACAGGAACCACAGGAAGGGTAAAAGTTAAAGCACGACAGAGGCGAGAGGAAGGATGTTGTAAGGACTGTGCAAGATAGCGAAGACAGTAGCGATCATGGCGGTCCTGGAGAGAGAGGAAGCCAGTGTCAACATACAAGCTAAGGGCAGGAGTCGAGCAAAAGGCACCAGAGCTGAGATGGAACCCAGTATGGTGCAAAGCTCAAGATGGCGAAGAGTAGAAGGAGAAGCAGAAGAATATGCAGAGCAACCATAATTGAGCTTAGACAGGACGAGAGAGGAGTGCAACTAGAGGAACCTATCTCCCAGAGCTCCCAAAGAAGTATGGGACAAAACCTTAAGTAGGTTAAAGGTCTTGGATCATTCAACTCAGAGGTAAGAGACATGGGGCGACCAAGACAAATGAGTGTCAAAGATTAACCCCAAAAGCTTAGCGGAATCCCTGTACACAAGGGGATGACCATAAAGCGACAAAGAGGAACGAAGAATGACATGCTTCCAAGTAAAAGTCATAGCACAAGTTTTAGATGCAGAGAACTTGAAGCCATGATTGGTGGCCCAAGACGAAAAGGCATCAATAGCAAGTTGAAGCCGCCGTTGAAGGAGAGGCGAATCATCATCCTGACAGCAAAGGGTAAGATCGTCAACATAGAGAGCGGAGAAGACACCAGAAGGAAGAGAGGAAAGAAGACCATTGAGGGCAACTAGAAAAAGAGTAGTGCTCAGAACACTACCCTGGGGTACACCCTAATACTGCCTAAAAGGGGCAGAGAGAGTGATACCAAGTCTCACACGAAAGGAACGATGAGAGAGGAAACTTTGGAGGAAGAGAGGGAGATTCCCACGAAGGCCAAAAGAATGAAGTTGGGACAGAATATGATACCGCCAGGTAGTGTCATAAGCCTTTTCCAGGTCAAAAAGAACGGCAACGATGGAGGTCTTTGCAGTAAAAGCAGTACAAATATAGACCTCCAAGTTCACCTGGACATCCGTTGTGCTGTGGCACTTGCGAAAACCAAATTGAGAAGGGAAGAGGTGGTGATAGCATTCTAAGAACCACATCAAACGAACGTTAACCATACGTTCAAAGAGCTTGCAAACACAACTCGTGAGGGCAATAGGGCGGAAGTCCTTGGGGGATGACCCAAGAGACCCTGGTTTCTGAGGTTCATCCAATAAAATCAGCAGACCTCTAGATGTTACTACTGCTCGGCTTAGACTCGGTTACAAGTATCTCTGGTAATTCTCATTATCTGCTGATGTAGACCTGACCAAATGTAAACTGTGTCAACAAAATTATTCGCACACCCTCCGTCACTATGTGATGGAGTGCGAAAAGATACATGAATTCAGAGAAAATTCTATAACCAATGTTCCAACGATGTGTAAATATTTAATTCAAAATTATCTGCTACCAGAAATTTTAGCCAAATATCCCCAGTTTGCTAACTGTAGGTAGTAACTAAGTGATTGTAACCTATCCACCGCGGCCCACTGGATGGGGGGCGGTGTGCAGGACAAACATATCAATTGTGTCACTAGCTCTCCACATATGTCAGTTGCTTAATTTAGAAACTGTACTTGTGGTCGATCTTGAACCTATTGATGATGTGACGACTTATAATGAATTTTGTAACTTGCTTAGCTAAGTGAATTGTGGGGTTCAGTCCCTGAGCCCACTATGTGCCCGAAACGCTATGCATACTAGTGGCTTTAGGTATTGTATGTACTAGCTCTATCTTTAAATTCCAACATTATGTTTCTAACTCATCTTCAATGTATCTTTACCTGAATAAAAAATCTAATCTAATCTAATCTAATGTGCCTCTGTAACCCTTTCCACTATCGCCCACAAGATGGGTATAGGGTGCATAATAAATGCTAAACTAAAAACTTCCTATTCTGTTTTTATATATATGTCACACAATTATATATTTTGTTTGTACTCGCTAATTATCATAAAATATAATTATCAAATAAATTATCAAATTATCAAATAAAGAAAAAACATCAATCATGTATTTATCAATTTAAGAAGTTAAAAACTTAGTGCTCACAAAATACAACCAGTGAGAAGTTTCACAGTGGCAGGAGTGAGATGTTTTCGGGGATCTGAAGCAACTCATGTCCTGATGTCATCTGCCGATCTGTGGTGCCGCAGCCATGGTATGGCATATGGCTCAGGATTCCACAGAACTGGAGGAGGTCCTTGTAGTTTAACAAACATAGGTGATCTATGAGAATTCTTGAGCGTGTTGTTGTTGTTATTAAGTTCATGTGACTGAATCCCCTTTCACACTCAGCAGTACTAATATGAATAACTTGTAAACAGCTCAGTAATGGGTGTAAATCTTAGGGAATGTGGCGTCCATGATCCTCCACATAGAAGGCGGAGGAGGAGTCCTTAAGAAGGACAAAGGCATTTAGTGCAGAGTAAGAAGAAAGCTTAAACCTCTTAGAAAGAGATAATATTTCAGCTTCTCCATAATTAGGTTGTATTTTCATCAGGCTAGTAGTCCTTTCAAGGACTCACATTTCACTTAGCAGTGATTTATACATACTTAAAGGTTCAGAAGTTTGAGAACCTTTTGTTGATGTTGTCGTGAACATACAGTGCTGCAAATTGTTCACAAGACTAGTAAGAAGTAAGTAAGTAATTATCAAAAGAAGGCACCAAGCTGGGAAGGCTATGTATCATCATCAAATGTGCGGAATAATCATAGGGTGCTAAATATCACTAAGGATGCCAATATGAGAACAGAAACGCATAAGGTGAACAATAAAAAAATATCCAATTCACCAAGAATTCTATCGAGGGACAAGTAACCGCGAGGGACAGTCGGGAAGTAAGACACACGTTCGTCCTGGAAGTCAGGACATTCAACAAGAATATGCATGACTGTAAGAGGGACAATAAGGAGCAGGGTGGTGCTCAATTAAGTGTCCGTGAGTTAAGTGTGTATGGCCAATACGCAAACTTGCCAGAGCTGTTTCCCACCACCGGTTATGGTGGTAGGAGGAAGGCCATGGGGACACATTACTCTTAAGAGCACGCAGTTTGTTACCAGTAATGTAAGACAAAGAACCCTGCCAATGGGCAAGGGTAAGAGAAATGGAGCGACCAAGACAAACGAGTGTCAAAGATTAACCCCAAAAGCTTAGCAGAATCTTTGTACACACTAGGGGATGACCATAAAGCAACAAAGAGGGATGAAGAACGACCTGCTTCTGAATAAAAGTCACAGCATAAGTCTTAGTTGTAGAGAACTTAAAGCCATGATTGGTGGCCCAAGATGACACAGCATCAATCGCAAGTTGATGTCGTCATTGAAGGAGAGTCATCACCCCAACAGCAAAGAATAAGATCATCGACATAGAGTGCTGAGAAGATGCCAGAGCGAAGGGAGGAAAGAAGACCATTGAGGGCAACAAGGAAGAGAGTAGTGCTCAGAACACTACCTTGAGGAACATCCTCGAATTGCCAAAAAGAGGCAGAGAGAGCAGTACCAAGCCTCACTCGAAACAAATGACTAGAGAGGAAGCTTTATAGGAAGAGAGATAGCTTACCACAAAGGCCAAAAGAATGGAGTTGGGACAGAATGTGGTATCTCCAGGTGGTTTCGTATGCTTTTTCCAGGTCAAAAAGGACAGCAACAATGGAGGTCTTCGCAGCAAAAGCAGTACAAGTATAGACCTCCAAGTTCACCAAGACATTAGTTGTGCTGCGACACTTGCGAAAGCCGAATTGAGAAGGTAAGAGGTAGTGCTAGTGTTCCAAGAATCACATCAGACAGACATTGACCATACGTTCAAGGAGTTTGCAAACGCAACTCGTGAGGGCAATAGGGCGAAAGTCCTTAGGGGGATGTCCCTAGAGACCCTGGACCACCTGGAACCAGTCCTTGGGGACTGATGACGATTCCCAGATAGGTTTATACTGTACAGATTTAGTAAATACCGAGACGTGCATGGAGGGAGATGGTGAAGCATCTCATAATGAATGTCATCTGAGCCCGCTGCTGTAGAACCGCAGAGGGGCCAGGGTAGACTGAAGTTCAAGGAGAGAGAAGGGATCGATATAGGGAAGCAGGAGATGAGTGCAAAAGTCGATGGGAGAAGATTCAAGAATGGGTTTATAATTACAGAAAGACAGAGGAAGATGGGAACCAGAGCTAACAGTCAAAAAGTGGGAACCTAGTTCAGTCGTGACTGTCACCGGATCTGCCACAACAGTACCACGGAGGTGAAGGACTGGCGAGACATCTGGAACAAACTTACTCGCTATCTTGCGGATTTTCTTCTATATCTGGGGCAGAGGAATATCGAACGTAATCGTGGGGACATAAGATTTCCAACTCTCACGTTTAGCTGTACAGATGGTCCTACGGGCAACCGCAATTGCCTTCTGAAATAAAATAAAGGAAGCGGCCATCTGCCAGGTCGGTATTTCTTCCAGGCTCCCCACTTACAGCGGACAGCCCGAGCGCAGTCTGCATTCCACCAGTTCTGTGTGCCCCGGGAGGTAGAGCTAGGAATAGATCGGAGGGCAGCACCGAATATGGTGTCAAAAGGAAGAGGTGTGGAACAGATTAATTCAATTTACATTAATTCTTATGGGAAAATTCGTTTCAAGCTACAAATTTTTGAGTTACGACCCGTCTCTGGGAATGGATTAAATTCGTAAATGGAGGTACCACTGTACTCTCACTGTTACACACAGGTAGCTACTGTTACACTGATACAACCACTTTTACTGTTACACTGACACAACCACTGTTACAACTACTCTCACTGTTACAAACAGGCACCTATAGTTGCACTGATACAACCATTCTCACTGTTACACTGACACAACTAGTCCAACTGTTACAGACACTATGACAACCACTTTCATCTCAGAGAGGAAAACCTATTTTATAAGGAGCTGTACAATAATGCAGAAAACTTAAATTGTATAAAATACTTTAATGGCTTAAAATACACTAATAGGTATACTAATAGTTAAAATATTGATCTATAATATAATACAATTCACTGAATATATTTACATAATAAATGTATACAGTATTTCTATACAATATGTTTAAATTCAATCATTCTTATACAAAACTCACAATCAAATGCCAATGTGTTTATTTAGATTAAAACTAAAAAATTTACATTTTGAATAAATTGTATTGAGCATTAACTGATAAAAAACAAATGTTTAAATTTAATTACTTTACATGATAAAAATTACTTAAGATTTACTTCTTAAGAGCTGAGGTGAAGAATTGAGAGATGGTTTTCTGCTTCTTTGTTTCCAATGACTGTTCTAGAGGGCCAGCCTTCTTCTTCTTCTTATTCTATAAAGTAAAACATTGAGCAATTCCATATAATACAATTTAACTCAGCACTTCTGAACTACATGATGAAGGCATATCTAAAGCATGTTGAATAATCCTAGATGCTGAAAAATTCATAGATAATTTAAGAGTACAATACTGTATTAGAAAACTAACTCTTGATTCCAAAAGTATGATAAATTACCCAATGGTGGTCCAACACAAATGTGTTCAAGAAAAAATCACACAGAGGGAACCTTTCTTGTGGGGAGGCCCCCAGTGAAGCTATCTTGCTGAGACTGCAATCTTGCATGTTTGGGTCCTCATGGAGAGGCCCACATCCTCACAGATTTAATTAGAGAGCAACTCTGTGAAGATGAGGCATTGCTGGTTTCAGCTCTGAGTGTGGGGGGGAAGGGTCTTGTGGCCTGCAGGTGTTGCCTTGGTGACCTTGCTCAGAATGCAACCCCTTTTCCTTCTAGAGACTGTGGTGGTGTTATACTTAGTCCACCTCACATGTCAACAGGCTGTGTTGGTCCATTTGTTAGCTTCAGCTTGGTCTCCTACCCTTTTTGTCCACTTATTTTCACTTCTCCTCTTTCCTAAGGATGTTGCTAAGCAGGCTTTGTCTGCAACGGCTTTCTCTTAAGCAGTCGGGTCCAGTTCAATGCCAGCTCTTCACAGCTACCTGTGGGCCACCAGTTCTGACTTAGTAGTTGCCTTGTTGGTTGACCTGTTTCTTTTATCCCTTGTTCTGATGATTGCATTTCTTAGGTCATCCACTGTCATTACATCTTGCCAGTGTGCAGTCTGCCCTCAAGCCCATGGTGTTCGCAAGTATGCAGCTTTGGTTGTAGTCTTCTCCAAGATGTCTTGGGCTGATATTAGGGCTTGGAGGTTTTGGTGTTCTTATAGAGCTCTGGTGGCCAAGTATTTAGTCAATGTTCTTGGTCCCAGTTGGTTGTGTGTTGCTCTGGGCTGAGTCTCCCTGCCTGGGTTTTCTTCATCCTACTGTTTGTCACTTCTCCTCCTCCTCCTCCCTGGTAATTTTTGTTCTCTGTGGTAACTTCAGGAAGCCACAGTAGGCTTCCCCAGGAAACCAGCATTGAAAGTACAGTACAGGGTAGTGTAATAAAATGCCTTTTTCTGGAGGACCCCCAATGGCTCCCTGAGTCCTTCCCCCTCCCTTTATATATGTCGGTTCAATGTTGGGTTGTTTATCAGCTCCAGAACTGGAGCTCTGCTCCATTACTAACAAGTTTTGAGCTAGTTCAAGTGAATCCCTCGTTTATGAATCGTTTGCAGAGTTGTTTGACAGTGTTGAGGTTTCATTTTCTGTGGACCCTCCAGCTGTCTAAAAAGCTTTTACTGACTTTCTAGAAGCTTTTGTCTGCTGGGGTGGCAAATTGCCACTCCCCCTGTGCCTCTATAAAGGAGCCAGGCTCTGGCTCTGGTCCCCAATAGGCCAAACAGAATGCCTGTGACTGGTAGCTTTAGGTATGGAGTAATCTCAGCAAGAAAGCTTCAAGGAGGCACCAGGGCTCTCTGAAGCCCCCTGTAGCTCATATTTCTGTAGATGTGGCTGAATTTTAACACATTCAAACCTAGTTTTTAAGTCAATTTTTACACTGAATTACTTTAATTTTAGGTATTATTATTTTTTTTTACACTGAATAACACTTGAAAAGAGCTATTATCTTCCAATAACTTTTTAAGATTTTGCAAGTTGCAAACTAAATATATTTATTATGTAAATATTTTAGAATGCAAAACATTTATTTTTTATTTTTGTTTATCTATATATACAAGAGTTCTTACATTCTTGTACAGCCACTAGCACGCATAGCATTTCGGACAAGTCCTTAAACCTAATATTTCCCAGAATACGACCCCCCAAATCATTTATCAACCAGGTACCCATTTTACAGTTGGGTAAACAGAGGCCGCAGTTAAGGATTGGCGCCCAGTAAATCCTCCCTGGCCAGGATACGAACTCAGGCCAAAGTGCTCTTGAAACGCCAGGCGAGTGTCTTACCACTCGCTACGCCACGGGGACTGCTACAACATTACACACATTACATGACCAAAGAGCCAAAGCTCAACCCCCGCAACCACAACTAGGTGAGTACACACTACTACAACATCAACATTAACTTTCAGAGTGCTCATCTGCATTTGCCCAAGGATAAGGTGCACCTCCCTTTTTCCCCATTCTAGGACCCAGCACCATTTTTCTTTCACCAACCACAGGGAGGAAAGGCTTAAAATTTTAACACCACTACGAGAATATGTTTGGAAATAACCAAACACTCTTAAAGTTGTTAGGTAATCCCCTTGAGACAACTACCTCAAGCTTCACGAGGGTAAGGGTGAGCTAGCCCTCCTACACAGGAGCAACAACATTACTCCCACACGGGGTTTTCCCCTCCAGGGAGGGTACAGGGCTCCATAGGAGAGTACCCTGGCTATCCAGGAGAGTGCTACGGACTAGCAAAAAGAGTACCTCTCATCACCAGTGTACATGGGATGAGTACCCCTCACCACCACCATTCTATGCTGGATGAGTACACCCTCATCATTTGGGTCTCCCAAATCTCCTGGATGGAGAAAAGGCTCCTGCATGGAGCCTTTTTGCTTCTCTATTGTCTCATTAGCTTCAGAAATTTGGGCTCTCTTTATTTTCCCAACAGGCTTTTGCATAGTATGCTTTTTGCCTCAAATTGGTTCCATTGCCTTTTCATCTACCTGTTTCTTCCAGGTGAGAACTTTGGGGCTGCTTCATTCCTTTTTGCTGTTGTTTAAATTCCTAGTCTTGGTCTTTTGTTGCTGTCATCGTCTTTTTTATGGTGCACTTCCTGAGACTCTACCTGTCTCATTGGTCAGAGAACCAATATAGGTAATTCTTGACTCTCTGCCAGTCTTCTGACATGGCCGTGTAGTTATCTGTTTACGAGGCAGGTAATAAACATTATGGTATCACATCTTCTGATGTCTTTGAGGCTGCAGTAGTAGTGGCACGACTGTTCTTTCCCTAGCTCTTTACTCTAAGCAGTTGTCATCTGTCAGTTTCTGTGGTGACAACATTTGAAATGTGATTTTGTGGTGTGCTACCTTATGCCCATTTCTGTTGCCTCATAATAGTCAGCTCTGCAGTCTCTCTCTCTTTTCAAACTTTTTTTTTTTTTTTTTGTATCCATTTCTTTCTTCGTCAGCTGGTTCACCGTCCACTTAACAAATGTGATCTTCATATCAGGGTATGGAGCTTTTGATTCTCTTCTCACTTTGGGTGTACCCATCACATGAGGAATGCAAGTGCTTAGCTCCCTTTCAGCTGACTAACATCTGGTCATTGAGTTTCTGTCACCTTGGTTTTCAGTCCTAGGGATCAGTTGTTAAAATCCAGATGCCCTTTTCTTTTTTCAGTTAGACTGAGTTATCTGCTTTTGTTAGGAGCCACTTCTGACTGAAGCATGTTTGTCAGGCTGTTCATGCATCATACTTATTGCCTAGCAGCAGCATTGTGACATATGCCGAGGGCTGTGAGGGGGATTTACTTAGCTTGCATCCTCGCTCTAGGCTGTGACATTTCACTGCTTTGCCTGTCTTCTCTCTCATTTCTGGTATTTTTAGGATGGTATAGTTGGATCTTGTGGCCCATGATCTCCCTACGGTGGCACTGTGTGGCATACGCCTGCCTGTCACATGTCTGTGCCCTGTCGCTGTGCTACAATTGTTACATAAGTACGTTATGTCTACAGGATATTTCAGCCCATCCGCTTAAAATGAAGCACTTATAGCAACTATTCAAACAAACAAAATGTACTATTACATCACAAAAAGTTTGTTTTGTATTTCTGAATTAACCCAAATGGCATTCTAAAATATTGAAAATGTCACTAAAGAACCTAATCTAACCAAGTAATCCCAGGCCTCATATATGCAATCTTAGGCTAAATATAGCACTGTACATATTATGAACAAATCCACAAGTGCCACGACGAGGATTCGAACCCACAGACGAGAGGATCCAGTCAATTACACGACTGCTTTTCTCCCGGACAGGTCGTGTCTGCCTGGCCGGGTTGGTTCTTTTCCGGCTCACCGGGTTTGGGTTCTTGGTTCTCTGGCGGTCGTTCCATTTGGTTCTTTGACAGCCTTGGTTCCTTTGCGGCTTGTTTGGTGTCTGCACCCAGGGGGTTTTCCCATGGCTCCGCCTCTTTTACGTGGTCAGTCCGGTCCGTGGCGGGGCTGGTTCGGTCTTCTTCTCACATCTTCTGGTCTGGTACTTTTGACTCGAGTCTCTCACCATCTGGTTGGTGGTCAGGTGGCTTTTTTTAATGTCCCCCACCTGCATGCTTTGTCTTGATGGCAGTATGGATTTTTTTCTGGCAGTCCTTTTTCTTTTTGTCTCTTCGTACATGTACTGCGCTCTTTGTTGTCGTGGTCTTGTCTTCTCTTGTGGTGGTTGAGGGCTGTCTTCTGGCTGCATACCATTGTCCTGTCTTCTGCGGCACTGGCGGAGCCGCTTCGGATTGCTCCGGTTTTGTTGTTCCTTCTGCACCGTTCGCGGGTTGTCTGAGGCATTGTTCACCTCCCGCTTGTTCATGCTCTTTTCTCTATTCCCTTCAGTTTGTTGTGGCCCCTTCGGTTTCGGAGGGGTCCCTGGGGTTATTGCTGCTTGGTTGTTGGGCCAGGGTGCTTCTTCTTGTGTCCGGTTCTAATGCATCTAATGCAGCTGCTGTCGTTGGATTAATGTTGAGTTTGATGCGCAGGGCTTCAGTAGCTTCACATTCCAGTAAGTAGTGCAACAGTGGCGCCTGTGTTTCTGTTCCACAGGTATGACAATCTTTAACTATTGGGTTTATTACCTCCCAGCAGCACTTGTAAGCAAGTCTGAGTCTGTGTATGGCTACTGCAATATCTCTGGATATTTTTTTGTCAGGCTTGAAAGAGTAGTACCCAGTGGCTTGTTCGTACCATATCGCAGTGGATCTTCCTTCTGCTACTTTGGCTCTGTGGTGACTTTTAATAGTTGAGAGCATTTTCTTCTTGATTTGCTCCTTAATCTGTGAAAAACTTGGAGGTATTTGAACCTGTACAACAGGTAGAGCAGTGGCAGTTTTTACTAGTGAGTCTGTCTTTTCATTACCATCTATGCCAATGTGACTTGGTATCTAATTTAGGGTGATTGACAGCCCTAGATTATGGGCATCTTTTCCTATATGTTGGATTTCTGTGAGGAGTTGTATATTATCTCTGTGTTGACTGGATAACAATGCCTGGAACGAAGATTTAGAGTTGGTATGAATGATGACATAATGTAAATTATTCTCAATTGTATAGTTTATGGCCTCCTTCAGGGCATATAATTCTGTCTGCAAAGTTGAGCACCCACTATTGATGCTCCAGTAAGCTTCATAGTTGTTAGTGTAAACTGCTGCCCCAGCAGAACCTCTTTCTTGATCAACTGATCCATCTGTGAAGATGTGAGTCATTGTAGGTCTTGAGATGGTTTCCATTTGTCATTCTATGACTGCTTTGAGCCTCTGCGACCAGAGAAGTCATCACTGCTTGATGTTATAATGGAAGGGGACTCCCCTTTCAAACAGTAACACCTCTTTACTCACCCCCCCCCCTCCTCACTGTCTTCCATATGCCAACAAGAGTCATCAATATAGGTAAGCTATAACTTGTACATACTATAGTACAAAATGTGTGTGTATTATGTTTGATATTTATATATTTTAAAGTTAATATTTTTGGGGTGTGGAACAGATTAATTCAATTTACATTATTTCTTATGGGAAAATTTGTTTCGTGTTATGAATTTTTGAGTTACTGTCTCTGGGAACGGATTAAATTCGTAAATGGAGGTACCACTGTACTTCTCGTTGCACAAAGAATATCACCGGAAGCCAAATGTATGGTCACAGTATATATACTGTGTGTGCTGGTGACCTAAGCTAAGGGGGAGGTACTGGGATGCAGCCCAGGTAGGGTAATTACATTACACTTAACATTAAATTTGTTTCAGTATTTTAAATGGTATAGATGCAATAAAAATGCAAAAACAAACATATGTTTGATCTACATTTTTACCTTTAGTGGAAAAAACCTTCCCGAGTATGCCACAGCCAAACCATTAACCAGATATTCTTTGGAAAAAACAAAATCACTAAGTACTCACTCAATTTCAAGTAATCCTTCCTTTATCTTACAAAAAAAAATTAATCACAAAGTTTATATGCTTACCTTACACTTTGGCTCACAAGAGAGTTCCAGAGACTTGAAAACCTGCACCGGAAGATGAAAATTCATTGTCATTCATGTTTTTTTTCTACTGAAAAAAATTAACTATCATAATTGCCTGTAATTTTGTTCAAAATATTGCTGAAAAACATTATATATCAACTTTTGTAATAAGTAACTTTATTGATGACCAGACCACACACTAGAAGGTGAAGGGACGACGACGTTTCGGTCCGTTCTGGACCATTTTCACAATCGACTTGAGAATGGTCCAGGACGGACCGAAACATCGTCATCCCTTCACCTTCTAGTGTGTGGTCTGGTCAACATACTTTAGCTACGTTATTGTGACTCATCGCCTGCATAAGTAGCTTTAATTTCATAATATTACCTTTTTCATAGCAGTTGATGTAGCAGAAGTGAGAAACTCTTCTTTGGTCATCCACTGACCATCTTGGTATCTCGATGGCCAAGTCACTTTTCTCTGGTCACATGCCGAGATCTTAAATACCCTATACAACATACACAACAACAAAATATAAAGTTTCCAGCTCAAATTTATAGTATGATTTTCTTAGTTATTAAATATTGAATAATTAACAATAATTTCTTCATTTAGGACAAATATTTTCTTACTTGTATGTCTGTCTTATATGTGAGAAAATATGAATGACATCAGAAATGAAAGTCCTTGAAGAAGCAGAAGAATGTGGAACACCAAACTGGTTCACCAATTGGGTAATTACTTCTTCGTCTGGGTCATCACTTTGTGCTAAGGGTATGCTAGGAAACTCCCATAAGTTGGCCAGTAACCCTGTACGGTATATAAAAATGACATATCAATAGTCATTATAGCAACACAAATTATTAACCCTTGCACTGCTCACCTATTTTCGGCAAAAACGTCTTGGTGCAATTGTCAAGGACATATTTTTGTTATTTTTACAAATGTTCAGGTAAATTTAATGTCAAAATGTTTCCAAAGTCAACTATTTCCATTTCAAAACACAAATAGTAATGAAAACATTAAAAAACATTAAAATATAGGCAAATTAAAAAACAAAAAGCACAGCTCTCTGAGCGCCTAAAGGCGCTTTGCGCAGTGCAGTGGTTAAATATAGTATATGCAAATACAGTAATATTATTTCAGAACCATGGTCCCTCGGTAGCAAGTAGCTGATATTAGTCCACAAACACTTTTCTACCTGCCAGCCTCTTAAGGATATGTTCACATACATTAACTATACTGTACTATACAGTACTAACTATTAACTGTTCAACTATAAAAAAATAAAAAAAAACATACTTGACGTTAGGGATACCATGGCAAATCTAATTCAAGCCAACACCAAGAGAATTAAATTCGACATGGCCCATTCAAACAAATTACAATCAAACTAAGTTAATTATTGCTGTGCAAACTACCAGCTAGGAAATCTGCCACTACCCTAACAAACATCACATGAAAGCACTAGTACCTAAACTGGGTCAGAGGAACCCAAGACATCACTTACTGATTGAGGTCCATGATTCCTTCCCTGGCTTGTGCAATAGCCCTTAAGACTTTCCTTGGTAGAAAAGATGGAGATTACAACATTCGATAGAACATGGCACCTGACCACAAACAAGCCACAGCTTCATAAGCCGCCATACGTGACACAAGCAATGTACCCATTAGTAAAATAAGAATTGGACCCAACAAGAGGCCCCTTATCCATGACCTAAATGGCAAACCAAAAACACCAACACAAGTGACACAAGTTGATAGATCAGTATGTAGATGGAGTTTATAGAATTCCGCAAGTCACTGAAAAGAGTGAGACTTGCACCTGAAAGCAAGCTGAAGCATCTCCGCCAGCAATGCACGATAAGAGGTGACAGGATTAGGCATCAAATGCCCGGCCTGAAAAAGCCAAGAAAAGAAGGACAAGGCAACCCGAACAGAAATGGAAGACAAAATACGAAGAGACAAAAAGTGCCAAAAAGAACGCCAGAAAACCTCATACCGATGCCGAGACGAAGCTCATGGGTGGGACACTATCAACGAAGCCACCCGATCACCATACAGATGGTGATACACGCGTGTCAAAAAGGCAAGATGCAAAGAGCGGAGGAGTAGATCGAACCAGCCATGTACCACACCAGCCTAATCTGCTGAAAGAGGTGGAGCCACAGGAAAACATCTCAGGCTCGGACACCGAGCAAGCAGCGCCTGAAAGCAAGGCTGGGTCGGCCACCAAGGGGCCAACAGAACTACTCTTCCCTGGTAAGTTCCAACTAAGCCAGGACCCAAAGCAACAGCTGGACTGGGGAAAAGAGGTACAGGTAACCCCACCTCGACCAGTCCTGTTGAAGAGTGTCCACCACGACGGCCTCGCAATAGGGGAAGGGCACCACAAACTGGAAGATGCAGGGACAACACCGGCATGAAGAGGTTCACTTCCGGGAGTCCATAAGTCTGGCAGAGCAAACTGAAGGAGTTGGCGTCGACCGTCCATACCATGGACAGGGGAATGAACCGAGACAGGCCGTCTGCCAGGACACTGGATACCCCCTCGGATATGAACTGCACGGAGAGCCAAACCCCGAGAATCCAGCAGACAAATCACTCGAAGCGACCAGCCCCAAAGAGCCAAGGACCGAAGAGAACCCCCGCAGTTCAGGCAATGAACCACCAGAGTAAAGTCCGAATGGAGCCGGACAGTCGAACCCCGAGCAACCCGAACCCTCTGAAGCAACAGCCAAACAGCTGTGAAATCCCACACCATGCTGTGAGCCTGACGGAAGGACAGACACCATCAACCCTAGCCAGCCTGGTGATCTTTGGTCACAAAGCCCCAGCCAAGAGACGAAGTGTCCGTGAACACATTGAGCGAGGGCTCGGCTAGGCGCCAAGGCCCCAGGAAGCCAAACCCAGCGATCATGAGAGCAGCGGAAGGGACAGGCCTGAAGGAACCAGAACAGCTGCTGAAGCCTAACCCGACCCGTCGGGTAAACTAGCACGCAGAAGTTCAGACTTCCGCACAGCTGCTCGAGCAACTGCCGAGTGACCCGGGAGCCCCCCAAAATACAGCTGAAGGTGGGACTGCAGCCGCAGCAATGCCTCTGGAGAGAGAGACAAGGAAGCGGTCCGAGAATCCCACACACGACCCAGCCAAGTCTGAGCCTGAGACAAGACCAGATGAGACTTTCTCAAATTCACTAGGAACACGAACCAAGCGATCTGGGAAAGAACCACTTCCCTGGCGAGCAGACGTGCAGACCGACTGGGAGCCCACACCAGCTAGTCGTCAAGGTAGGCCAGAACCCGAACCCCTAACAGATGCAGATGGGGTTACCACGACCTGGGTAAGATGCGTGAACACGCAAGGTGCCAGATTCAGGCGAAACAAAAGGCAACGAAAGCAGAAAGCCTGAGTCCCCACCACAAAACCTAACCAGTCTCTGAACCCCCAGATGAATTGGGATGTGCCAATGCGCATCCCGGAGATCCAGACACCATCCAAGCACCCGGCTCCATGAGAAGCCAGATCTGGGACAGGGTCGTCATCGAAAAGGAGGGGCAATAGATCCAGGGGTTCAGACAGGACAAGTCCAGAATGAATCTCAGATCCGCACAGTCCCATTTCGGGACTGGAAACAGGGACGTAGTGAGGGACGTAGACGTTTCGACCACGCCCAAGCGTACCCACTCCAGGATGACCTGATGGTGCACAGGGAAAGAGGCCTGTGCCACCCCTTACGAGAAGTCGACCAACAAGCAGAGTGATCACTGTGCTGACCAGACGACGTCTGCTCCAAAAGAAACGCTGGCTCAGAAACTGGCACCACTGGCCTACCACGACTGGAGGAGCCCTGTGCTCTGGCACGACTCTTCTGAGAAGAGCCATCCCTAGAGAACCAACAAGTCCAACATGGGATGGCAATTACATGAGACTGCCTGCAGAAACTGCATGACAGCAGACTCAGCAAACAGCAACTGACAAAGGCGATGAAAACCCAAGAGCTAGAGCCCAGAGCACAGCATATTGACATGCGAGGCGAGAAGCAAAAAAACAGACACCGCCTCCCTGAGAATCGGCACAAACAACTTTAACACTTTCGCGTTCTCCGCGAAGGTCACTCAGCCAACCGTAAGTGCGCAGAGCGTTTTGCCGCGTAAGCGTAAAAACAAAAATGTGTATACTCTTTTTACTCTCATGACCTTAGTTCTCGAGCTACGTATTTCATTTTGGTACCAACGTGTTCGCAATAAAATTCTCTAGAAGAACATCAGTAAAAAAAGTCACGAAACGTATAGGGATACCAGCACCAAATAAATAACTACGAAGATGACTCGCCGTGAGCGCCCAACAGCAACAAAATGTTTTTACTCTTGGGATTGTTATCACCTCCACACTTGTTCTACAGCGTTAATTTTGGTATCAATGGACTCGCAATGAAATTCCCAACACGGTGATATGAATATAAGCGTAGAATAATGATGCGGCCCGCCCGCAAGAGTGTGGGAAGTGGTGAAATTGTTACCCGGTATCGGTGACGGGACGACGCATGGCGCTTTGAAAGTTTATACTTATTTCACTCTCGTGACATTAATTTTCTATGTACGTCATTAATTTTTGTGTCAATGTGTTCGCAATAGAATGTTCTATGAGCCCATAGGTAAAAAAGATCAACAAAGCGTAAGATAGAATAGCGCCAAATATAAAACAACGCTGGAACATATCAGTGAGCGTCAAATACACACGAAATGTTTTTACTTTTTTTATGTTTGTCAAGTTTATACTTGTTGCACACAGTTATTTTTGGTTGTACATTGATCGGAATAAAATTCCCTAAACAGACATATGCATATAATACATGATATGGGGGAAGCATTACCAGTATAAACGGCTAAAGTCACCCACCTGCAACCCGTTTGGGACATAATACCATTTGATCGAAGTGGTCCACACCTTTCATGAACTTATTGTACAATGCAGCCTAGTGGTGAGAAAGAGAGCCTCATGGCACGCAGTTTGAAACAAACCCAAAGTAAATCGGATAAAAATTGAATTTTATACAAATATTTTAAAAGAGGACATAACTTTATGTCCACTATGCGTTAGCGTTAGACAAAACAGGACTCACCGGTAAGTCCGGTTAGCCGAAAGTGTTAACTTGCCAGCCAACGCTCAAGCAGCGGAGGCAAGTGACCCAGAAGAAGATCCAGCACCCAGCTCTTCCACATCCTCCTCAAGCCAATCCAAGGACAGCTCAAGAAGGGAAAAGAAACGCAAGACATAGGCCAAGTGCCCATGGGCGTGCAAATCCTCAGCAACCAAGGCAGCCGAAAAGGCAGAAACCTGCGCATGGAGCTGCACAATGCCTACATCTCTAGGAAACACAAGGGCGAACAAGAACACCTTAAGGCACTCAAACTCGCCACCCCAGGTAAACCTGTACACCAGTAGAAGTCTCCCGCCAATCAAGCATGCAGGCCCGACAAAACCCATACCACATGCCCAACGAAAAGAAAGGCCAGTCCGCCAGCCAGGAAGACTATGATACCTCATAATGCACTCAAAAGGGAAAAGTCGACCCGAACTCAAAAGAAGATGGATCCATCACCGAGGCGTAATCCAGGTCTCGCAGGAGGCACGCAGCGATGGCCTCCCTAACCTCCCTAGGAGGGATTCGAGAAGCCGGAAACCTCCGGAAGAAAGGAACCGAAGAATCAAAGGGAACCCGGAACCAAACCCATGGAGAAGTTGACGTCAAATCATACTCATACAGGAAGGGGGAGGATAAGAAAACCCCTTCCCCTGCAACAAGCTCCATGAAGAGGGTACCAACACCTAAGCAGGATCAAACGGGGCCCAAGCCCATCAAGTCAACTCCTCCACAGCCCCAGGATCCTCCACGTCAGGACCTGGGGTAGAGCCAGCCCCCACACCCTCAGCCCCCAAAGAAAAGGCAGAGTCTACGGGAAAAGCAAAAAAGAAGGAAGTCTGCTGGTAAGACCCAAAAGCTTCAGCAGGAGGAACCGGCTCAAATGCCTTCATCGTCAACCCGGATGGGGCAGCCCCCCGAAGCCGCCTGAATCTCACTTCCATCTAAACCCTGCCCCAACTCCGAAACCCTCAGACATTTGGGAGCTGGGAGCAGGGTGGGGGAAGCAGGATGAACAACGCCAACCTGGGAAGGACTCGGGAGTGCGGATGAAAACGATCCACTCGAATAGGTTCGATCTGCTCCTCCGCTCATCACTTTGGTCTTTTTGACGCGGGAGTATCACCACTTGTATGGTGACCAGGTGGCTTTTCTCATGGTGTCCCACTTACGATCCTCACCTCGGCAACAGTATGAGGCGTCTTGGCAGTCTTTTCACCATTTCCTCTCCTCGTATCGTGCGGCGCTGGCGGAGCCGCTCAAGCTTGCGTTCCGTAAGCTTTCTCGTGCTTTGTTTCACCTCAGATGAGTGACGATTGCTTGATTGCTTGTTTCCTTTGGGGAGTTCTGTTCTCTGTTCGGTCTTGGGCTTTTTGCAATTTCCTACCATGTGAGGTTTGTTTTGAGATGTCTGCCTTTCTGGGTGCTAAGTCGGTCGATGGCAGACAAGGAATACTCCCAAATACAAGAGGGGTCTCCTTCAGCCATTGCTCCCTGTACCTCTCTGAGGAGGCCAGGTTCCGGCTCTGGTTCCCAGTAGGCAGGATCCACTGACTGAAGCCCCAGACTAATATAGTGTGTATCAGTCCTATAGCTCCAGGGAGCCTCCTGGGGATCCCCACAAAAAACAATATCAAAACCTTAACCGATAGTGATGACACTTGCTGCTACAAGAAGGGACCAATGAATGGCATGCAATGCAACCTCACACTACTGCCTTAATGGCACCCAGAGCTGTGTAAATCAAAATATCTATATGCCTCTCATACAAGTGATGGTACAAATAAAACAATAAAAAAATCAAAACATGAATAAAGGGCAGGGAGCTGAGAGCCAGTCAACAAATGAAAAAACAGACCTCAGGTCTTCAGCCACATGCAACCCAGCAGGTAGGCCGTGCTGGCAAGGCCGAGTGCCCCAGCAGATGCTCCCGCTCCTGATGGGAAATGTAATGCCTGCATAACAAACCATAAACATGGCCATGGAAGCACTAAACTGAAATACAGGGTATGGTCTAAATTTTGAGCTAGTAAATCTCTGGTGATAGTTTTTCTTAGCCTAAGCTTCAAGTGGAACATGGAAAACTTTGGCAGGAGGACTGTGTTGGGGTGTCAGCACTGCCACCTGTTGATAGTTAATGATGGTGATTTACCGGGCAGTTTGTCATTTGCACATGCCTAGAGCGGTGATTTCTGTGGTGCCAAATTGCATTCTGAAAGGTTTTGGGTTTATGTTAAACACTTCTAAGTCAACATTCTAGACTGAACATAAGAATTAAGGTAACTGCAGAAGGCCTATTGGCCCATACGAGGCAACTCGTATTTATATCCACTCAATCTCATTCATATATATGTCTAACCTACATGTGAAACAATCAAGGAATTCTACTTCTATTATGTTACGTAGTAACTGGTTCCACAAATCAACAACCATGTTACCAAGCCAGTATTTACCCAGGTCTTTCCTAAATCTAAACTTATCCAACTTATACCCTCTGAATCTAAATCATTTACATATATTATAAATAACAGAGGTCCCAGAACAGAGCCTTGAGGTACTCCACTTATAACCTTTTCCCACTCTGACTTAACCCTATTTATTCTAACTCTTTGTTTTCTTTGGTATAGCCATGCCCTAATCCAACTTACCACAATAGGCACACACAATACCGTGAGCCTCTAACTTTTTAATCAATCTTTCATGTGGCATTGCATCAAAAACTTTGCTAAAGTAAAGATACACAACATCACAAATCTTACCACTATCAGCTGCCTCAACTATGCTGGAATAAAATTATAGCAAATTTGTCAAACATGAATGGCCATTAGTAAAACCATGTGCGACTCATACAGTAAATCATACTGTATGGATTGAATCAGTAAATCAGTACTGTGAATCATACATACTGGGTTGTTTATTCTTCAGTATCTCCCTAACACTTGTATGACTCAACAGAAATGGGTTGAAATGTGTCCCACAGCATTGGTACAAAATATCGACCTGCCCTGACTACAGCAGATCATAATCAGGGAGCAACCAACTGGAATAGATGAGAAATAAAGTGATCTATGCTGAGCATATAAAATATGGCATGCAATTAAAATAAAAGAATTATATATAATATTGTTATTATTTCTGAAGCTTTTTACTATTATTAATTATTATTATTATTATTATTATTAAGACTGCAAAAACAAGGGTCTCATACCTGTTTTTGGTCGCTGGACCAAAAGCATCTTTTCATTTTTACTCTGCAAAATTACCACAACTGATGATTCCTGTCTTGACTTAGTCTTTTGAGCCTTGCGTGGATAGTTCTGAACACCAAGACTGCAAATAATTATTGTGCATTGAAAGCACTTCCCCAGTATTTACCAATTATTACCTATATCTACACCATATAAACTATTATGTGCCTTATAGGATGGGAAGGAGTGGAAGATCAAATATCTATAAATAGAATAGCCACTGTACAGTATACTGGTTCATCTTTCTACACACAACCTACAGACTCACCCAGATGAGAAAATTAACTCTGCCAAAGAAATTATGTACATACACTTCAATGAAAACTACTGCAAACCTAAAAACAAGAATAAAAACATATATCTCACCTCCCATCCCAGTCCTCCTGTCGAAGGCACAAGTCACAATTAGACACTGCAAGAGAAATGCACGTTACATATTTTCTCTTTAAACCTAAGAGACTTAATATTATTGCTCAACTACTAGTATGTTACAATATTATGGCATTTTCTTGGCAAAATCCTATTGGGATAATTAAATATCATACATAAAGGGAAACAAAAAATATACAGTGGTGTCCAGAATAGTCTATCTACCACATCACCTGACATTCCACCCCTCTTCTTTTCCCTTCTTCTCACATCTCCCATCCCCTCTTCCCTCATTTTCACTCTCCCTCCTTTCTTTCCCCCTTCCTCCTCTCTTCTCCCTCCACCCTCCCCCACTGTCCCCTTCTGCCCCCTCAACTCCATTTTCGTACCTTCCTTACTTCATATCCCCTCCAACTTACAAGAGATAGAGACTTCCATTTATATATAAATTAAATCATGGAAATGCTTGGGCAAACAGCAGGAGTAACTTCAAAACACTACGGAAAACAAATCCCCGATTTCATTTCTGCCTTTATGAAAATTGCACTGGGATGTTGGGTTTCAGGGTTTATTTCTTAAAGCATTTAACTTAGGCCTACCCCAACTAGCCTATGTTAGTCCCATATCCCAGACCATTCCCTCTACAAATTTGAGTGACCACTAGCCCCAAGCATCTGGCTTCCAACTTTGGACAAAGAGACATTCTCTCTTACAGAATGGATATACAGTATGTTTATACATGTTTCTACCATACTGAACAAAGAATATTCTTATTTCCACATACACTGGGCCATATTTGCCTTGGAGCCTAGTTACAAAACAAAATTCAACACATGACACTAATGGCACTGCTAGGTATACCAGCTAAATTTAATAAAATACAAAAAATATCATCATTCCCATTTTATTATTCTACATTAACTCCTAATGTAGGTTTCCTCCTAATGATACCACATAGTCAAATGTGACAGAAAAGTAATCCTAGGCAAGGTTTTATGGCATGATAGCACTAATTCTCATAACAAAATTTCACATAATTTATAATGTTCCAGAGTATAATTTTTAATTTATTTTATTGAGCACCACCCATAGCCACAAACATTTTATGTGAAATCTTAAGCTTTCTGACACGTGCCTCGAGATTTATTAAATGCTTAATTTAAAGATTCTAGACTACATTAAATTCTGCATTAGATCTCTTCACTATTTACAGCTCTGGTATACTTAACACTTAAGCTGGTCCGGGTTATTTGGCCTTTGTCACCCACAGGCGCATAAAAAAAAATTCTGGCAAAAAACCAGTATTGAATGTAATGAAACGCCATTTTCTGGGTGAGACCCGGAGGCTCCCCGGAGCTATCCAGGCTGATATGCTAATGTCAGACTTTGGCATCAGTCATGCGTATGGAGTTCTTTGGGCCTACCGGGGACCACGGCCAGAACCTGGCCTCCTCAGAGAGGCTAGGGAGGCAAGGGAAGCAATGGCCTATATAACCCCCCGTGTAGTTGGAAGCATTCTATGTCTGCCATCGACCGGGTCAGGCACCCAGAAAGGTAAGCATCCCAAAACAAACCCCTACTCTGGTGAAAATATTGCTACCAAAAGCTGAGCAAGTAGATAAAACTTCCCTAAACGAAACGAGCAAACAATCATGACATCACATGTTGCCGCACCATTGTATGTGCAGCTTGGGAACGGGAAGCCCCAGACCCCACACGCCGGCTATCCACCCTTAGTTCTTAGGCTGGATGTCAAAACACGCAAAAAACTGCCGACCGGAGGGAGGGAGGGATGCTGGGGAGCCTCCGGGTCTCACCCAGAAAATGGCGTTTCATTACATTCAACGCTGGTTTTCTGGGGGGGAGCCCCTTTGGCTCCCCGAAGCTGAATACCCACAAAAGAAAAACGTAGGGACTTACCAGGGAGGCAGTCGCTGCTCACTCCCCAACTCAAAGTCGAGACAACTGGCTGCAACCGCCGATCCAAAGCGACACAGGCCCGACTAGGCCCAGGAACATTCATGAGATAATGAGCAGCCAGGACCCTGTTCGACCGTCAAAATCCCCGCAACCCGAATGTCAGCCCAGGACATATTGCCGAAGACGGTGGCAAGAACTGCGAACTTATGAACATCATGGGCGCGGGGATAGACCGCAGGCTGGCTAGCCTTAATAATCCTGAAAACGACCTGAGAGACCCGCACCTGTGAACAGGGAAGAAGGGAAACTGAATCAACCCAAAGTGCGTCCACAGACACAGAAGCCGTGGCACGCAAATAACGGCGGAGAGCCGCAACCGGGCACAAAACATGATGCACCCCCGGGCTGACCAACCAAGCATCAACAACCCAAGGACCCCTCCGGAAAGCAGCAGTCTCATTCTTCGCGAGAAAAGAAGGTGACGGCTGCAGACGAACAAACCTATTGCCCTATTGAATAGGGATTTGTTTTGGGATGCTTACCTTTCTGGGTGCCTGACCCAGTCGATGGCAGACATAGAATGCTTCTAACCACATGGGGGCTTCTATAGGCCATTGCTCCCCTTGCCTCTCTGAGGGGGCCAGGTTCTGGTTATGGTCCCCGGTAGGCCAATAAAACTCCATACACATGACTGATGCCAAAGTCTAACATTAGCATATCAGCCTGAATAAGCTCCGAGGAGCCGAAGGGGCTTCCCCCAGAAAGAGGCACCGACACAGCAAGCATCGGAGGAGTTCTGCTTCACCACAGCTGTCAGGCGAGAGTTGCCACAAAGATATAATTACCCAATTATTTCAATGTCTCTGATTAATTTTTCTTTGTTTCTTTTGCTGTAATATTATTCAATAGTGTGTAGTGTGATATATTGATAATAAAATGTGTGAATCATTGCTGTACTCAAAATTATGGTGTGCATATTATTGATTAAATTATTATGTTTATAAAACAACAAACAAATATTTTGTTGGTTATTACATTATACACACAGGTTATATATAAGTACAGTATCTGCATGTTTTGTTCACCATAACAAACCACTAAGTTGATATTGTGAGTCAAAAAGCAACGAGGAGTGGCCACCACATCTGCCAGCCAGCCTCTCACTGCCACTCCCTCCCTCAAAAACTTCTCACTTGCCAACATCCTCATCCCACCATACTGTTTTTGTTTTTATTCACTATATACTGTACAGACATTTTATATAAGTATCTACATGTTCTGTTCACCATAATTGTTCATCTAAGCTGATAAAGTGCACAAAGAGCATAGTGGCCACCCTTATCCAGCATGACAAGTCAGGAAGATGATGCCACCTCCCTCACCAAAATGGCTTCTCTCAACACTACTTTTGCTGGTATTACACTATATATACACACACATTATATATAAGTATCTACATGTTTTGTTCACTGTAACTGTTCAACTAAGCTGGTATAGTGCCCAAATAGCACAGTGGCCACCCTTACCCAGCATGACAAGCCATGCAGATGTCGCCACCTCCCTCACCAAAATGGCTTCTCCCAACACTCCTTTTGCTGTTATTACACTATATATACATACACGTTATATATAAGTATCTACATTTGTGTTCACCATAACGAACCACTAAGTTGGTATGCCGAGTCAAACAGCAGCAAGGAGTGACCACCACACACCAACTAGCCCACCACTGGCTGTCAATCCCTCCCTCCCTCACCTCACCTGACTTGCCACCCTTCTCCTTCCACCATACTGTTTTTGCTTTTATTCACTATATACAGACATTATATATAAATATCTGCATGTTTTGTTCACCACAGCGAACAACTAAGCTGGTATAATGAGTCCAGACAGTAAAAGGTGGTCACACAGTCAGCAGACAATGCTACCTCCCTCCCCACCAAGATTACTCCTCCCACTACAGCGCTAATTATCACGACAATCTTGCTATTATCAGAATCCTGATCATTTTTATCACAGTCAGGGGTCTTCTGTAATACTATCATAGCTAAATAATAGCATGTACATATATATTTTGACATTTTTAGGCGATGCTGTGGTCACCAGCTGAACAGCAGTGCTGTGAGCTCATGCTGCATGTTCCAGCCTTGGTTGCTCACTCAGTACTGAGGCCCTCACACCCGGGAATGTTACCCACGATTAAAAAAAAAAAAAATGGCGTCTGTTTACAAGAGCCCTGATGAAGGCGATGTGAACCCTGTGTACCCGCGGGCTGTTTAAATCTTGCGTAGTACTCCAACACGTCATATGACGTGATGCGCACTTTTGGGCAAGTTACTTGTGCAGTTTAAGGGTTAAATCATTAAAATAAACTCTCTCTTTAAATACAATATTTCTAATCCAGCATGTTTTATTCATAATCTCTGCAATCTTTTTCTCTGACTAATACAACCACCTAATTGTATAAAAAGCTAATTAGTGTACTAACAGCATTCAATATCAGGAACATCACTAGTTGGCAATGTAGTCCTTTTCTCATCACCCTTTATGAAATGACTGGTTATGGACACTTTTTCTTGTTGGCTTTCACTTCTACGATATGCAAGACAGTGGAGCCGAAGAGGACACGCGCTACAAGTAGGAGTCTGAAACAGAGCTAAGCTTAATACTAAACTCTCAACTACAAGCAAATCTAGATATAATATTCCATAAAAGTATAAAAAATAACTGGGTTGAATATAATGAAACGCCAATTTTGGGGCAAGCCCCGGTAGCTCCCTGAAGCATTCCCTGAACCACTGAGATGGTTCCGATCTGACCACAGATTACATCAGCTGTGGAGTTCTTCAGGCCTACTAGGGACCAGCACCTAACCTGGCCCTTTTCCTCACAAAGGCACAGGAGTGGTGACATTTCACAACCAGAAAGTAAACGAGTCTAACCAAAACCACTGCTGGATTCAGATGACTAAAGCCTCGAAACCTGCCTAATGAACTCCTCCAACTATGTGGGGGGAGAGGGAGAGAGAGAGAGAGAGGAGTGAAGTGGCTCACTGCCTTCAGGAGTCTAAGCTGTCAGTTTTGGACTAGACGCAAGCACCCACCCAACAAGCTGGAAGGGAGGGAGGAAATCAGGGAGCCACCAGACTCGCCCAGAAATTAGCCTTTCATTATATTCAACGCTGGTTTTTTAGGGGGTGGGGGGAGCACCTTGTGGTTCCTTGAAGGTAACAACCCACAGAGAAGGAAGAATACATGGAAACTTACAAGGGATAAGGGAGCACTGCAGGAGTCAGGACAAAGAAGAGACCTCCAGATTAGGCATATGAACCCAAGGCCACACAAGGACGTCAAGGCCTGGGAACATTCACCAAATACTGGGCTGTTAGAACCCTGTTAGACCTAAACCGAGCACCCGAATATTAGCTCAGGACATACAGTATTGGCAAACACAGCTGAGAGAGTGGCATACTTCCTAACATCATGGCACAAGGGTAGAATGCAGATTGGTTAGACTTAATAACACTGAGGACAACCTGAGAAATACGAGTTTTGGAACAGGGAACCAAAGAAACAGGACCAACCCACAAGCATCCACTGAAGCAGAATCAGTGGCACAAAAGTAGAAGCGAAGAGCCACTCTTTTACTAGACACAACACATTATGCACCAATGGCTGAACTAACCAATTGCCAATAACTAAAGGACCCCTTTGGAAGCCAACCACCTCGTTCTATCTGAGAAAAGAAGGCACCAACAACAAATTAACGTAACACCTAACAGGGCCTCGTAAAGCCAGGCTTGCACTATACTGGAGTGTACAGGAAAAGCCACAAAAGGCAAACACCAAACCATTTGGCTAAAAACAGGACCCTACACGAAAGAAGTGTTCCCTGAAAACCACTGCATCAATGACAGAATTGATCCTCAGAGGTGCAGGAAGTGGTGACATTCCCCGTCAGTCCTAAAGAACTCCATGACTGATGTGACATGGTAAATGGGAACCATCTGTGTATAGCTTCAGGAAACCACAAGGGGCTTTTCCCAGGAGAAGAGACAATAGGATGGATTTCTTTTTCAGTAAAATTATTTTCAGTGCATGCAATTCATTAAATCTAAAACTAAGGTATGCTACATATACAGTACTGTCATTAGACCTTTGGTGTACAAACAGTTGCCCCTAACTCCATTATTGCCTGGTTGAAGTCTCCGGGTCTCACTGGGTCAACTATCTTATCTGCCAAACTCCACATGTGCTCTGCGCTTGACTGAAAACAATTATAGATCAGTATAAGCACAAGTAATAAATGAGAACACACACAATATAGAATATTGAATCTCAGTAAAAACTCACCAATTCAAAATATTAATATCATAGGATTAACAGAAGCAAGAGAGGAATAAGGGAAGTAAAAGCAGAAAAGCAAGTAATAAATATCACTCAGAATATGAGAACAAAAGGACATAAGGTGAACAACAGGAAATTTATTGAATTTCTCAAGGATTCTATCATGGAACAAGTGACCTAGAGGAGCACTGATAAAATATGGCATGTGATCCTCCTGAAAATCAGGACATTCTGCAAGGGGGTGCATGACTGTATGTGGACAATGCAATTCAGACAGTAAGGAGCAGGGCATTATTCTACAAAGTGCTCATGAGATATGTGGCTAACATACAATCCAGTTACAGCCATGTTCCACCATTTATTTCAGTGGTAGGAGGAAGGTCATAGGGATACAGGTTACTTTAAAAAGAGTGTGTAATTAATTAAACTGATTAAACTGTCATACACCAATTCCAATTTTATGATGATTTGATGTGTTCTAAAATATTTGTACTCTAGGGCCGTTGTCAATCGAGGTTCCACTGTATTGTACTGTATTACATAAAAATATAAAACATGTGTCCAGTCAATCTATCTCCTCTTGCAAGACTGATCCACACTACATGCATATTCTCATAGTTATGTAAAATTACATACTGTACAAAATGTTAAGGAATAATTTTTTTTTTTACCTGTACACTAATATCGGCACCAATCGCTCGGACACGTGCTAAGACTCTATTAACATTTCCATCAACAACACCAACAGCACAGCCCAGAGCAATGGATGCTATAGCACTCCCTGAATAGCGACCTATACCAGGCAGATGACGAATGAGCGAATCACGATCGTTTGGAACTTCTCCATTCAATTCCTTCATGATCTGAAATAAGTAACACTTAAATACACTGAAATATCAAGACAGGTACAATATTCACATTTAGCATTTTAAATCAACTGCAGATAGTGCTTGAAACATGACAACTTCACTTCTACAGTTTCAAATAATTTATTAGTAACAATTCAAACCATTATAATTCTGGCTAGATTGAATCAATCCAGTTATAAAAACCAGTATTGAATGTAATGAAATGCCATTTTTGGGGCGAGCCCTGGAGGCCCTCTGAAGCTATCCAAACTGACATGTGCCATATTAGTTTGGTGTCATCAATCTTGGAAGTTCTGTATACCTACCAGGGACCACGTGCCAGAACCTGTTCTCATAAGAGAGGCGCAGGGAGCAATGGCCATTATGAGCTCTCTACATTTAGAGTATGTCATATCTGCCGTCAACCGGGAAGAGCACCCAAAAAGATAGGGGAAACAATACAAATATCCCACCTGGTAAAAATTGCAACCTACATCCAAACAGAGCCAAAGAACTCCCCCCCCCCCAAAAGAAAACAAATAACCAAGCAAATCGTCATCCAACTAGCACGCCCGTTCATTAGCTGATAAAATAGCCCTCACGGCTAAAACAGCCAGAAAACGGACAGGATACTGAGAGTGAATGATTCAGCCAACTGAATTGAGTCGGCGTCGACCGTCCATTCCAAGGACAGGGAAATGAACTGAGACAGGCCGTCTGCCAGGATGTTGGACACCCCCCTGAACGTGAACAGCCAGGAGAGCCAAACCCCGAAAACTCAGCAGACAAGTCACCCAAAGTGACCAGCCCCCACGGTTCGGGCAATGAACCACTGGGGAGCAATCCGAATGGAGCCTGATCGTTGATCCGAGGGCGACTCGAACCCTCCGAAGTGACATTCACACAGCCACGAACTCCCGCACCATGCTGTGGGCCCGACAGAAGGACGGACCCCACTGCCGCTGACTGACCTGGTGAGCACTGGTAACAAAGCCCCCAGCCCAGAGACGATGTGTCCGTAAGCACATCAAGCAAGGGCTCAGGTAGGCGCCCAGGCACTGAACCCCGAAAAAGCCAAAGAGGAAGCTGGAGACTCGGCAGCTGACGTAAAGCCCCCGGAGGCCGAACCCAGCGATCGTGAGAGAGGCGGAAGGGACGTCCTCAAAGGAACCAGAACAGCCGACGAAGCCAAACCCGACCTGGCGGGTAGACCATCACGGCAAAGTTCAGGCTCACTCACAAACCCTCGAGTAACCTCCGAGTGACCCGGGAGCCACTAAGAAACAAGCAAAGGTGGGAGCACAGTTGAAGCAAAAGACTGGTGGGAGAGACAAGGAAGTGGTCCAAGTCCCACACAAGACCCAGTCAAGTCCGAACCTGAGAGGGAACCATATAGGACTTCTGTCAGTTAACCAGGAACCTGAACCCAGCGAGCTGGGAAAGAACCAGATCCCTGGCGAGCAGACATGCAGACTGGCTGGGAGTCCAGACCAGCCAGTCGTCGAGGTCAGCCAGCACCCGAAAACCTAAGAGACACAGACAGGCCACCACGACCCGTGTAAGGTGTGTGAACACGTGAGGTGCCAAGTTCAACCCGAACGGGAGACAACAAAAGTGGTAACCGAGATGCCCCACAACAAAACAGAGCCAATCCCTGAACCCGGATGAATCAGGACATGCCAATACGCGTGCCGAAAGTCCAGAGACACTATCCAAGTGCCTGGCTCCAACAAAAGCTGGACCTGAGACAGAAGTCATCGCAGCGTAGTCAGCGCCGCCAAGACCAAGGGATCAGACCCAGGAACAGCCAAAAGCGCTTCCACATCCTCCTGAAGCTAATCCAAAGACAGCTCCAGGAGGGAAAAGAACCCCATCACCGAAGCCAGCAGGCCACGAGCGTTCAAGTTCTCAGCCACCAATGCAGCCTAAAGGGAGGGAATCTGCACATGAAGCTGAACCACACCAACATCCCACTGAAAGGCAGGGGCAAACGAACACGCACTGAGGTGCTCGAATTTGCCCCCAGGTAAACCTGGACTACCGTCAACACCTCGTGCCACTCAAGCATGCGGGTAAGACAGAAAGTACTCCAAGCATCCAACGACAAAACAGGGCAGTCCCCAAGCCAGGACGACTCTGGAAACTCATAACAAATGAAGTATGGTGACGAAGACCCAAACCTGAAGGAAGACGAATATATTATAGAAGCATAATCCAGGTCATGCAGGAGGTAAGCCGGGGAGGAGCCGACACCAAATCACACTCGTATGCAGAGGGGGGAAAAGAAAACCTCACTCCATGTAACAGTAAGCCCCGCTTGGAGGGTAGGAAAACCCAGGCAGGATCCACTGGGGCCCAAGGCCCCCAAGCCAGCCCCTCCCCAAACCTGGGAACTTCCACACCAAGACCCAGATCCGACTCATCCTCCAAAGCCCCAGCCTCACAAGAAAAAACCGGGGCCGCCAGAAAGGCAGGAAGGAAGGAAGGAAGGAAGGAAGGGGGCCCACTGGTCAGACCCCGTCGCCATGGCTGGGGGAACTGACTCAAATGCCTCCATCGCCTTCCCAGAAGGGGCAACCCCTGAAATTGCCCGAGTCTCAGAACCTTCTAAACCCTGCCCCGAACCCAAAGCCCTCAGACGCTTCGGAGCCAGAAGCTGGGAAAGGAGGGGGAGGGGGACCACAATGAATCACAGCAGGGGAAGAATGAGGGGGACGTGGACTGAACCAAGGCTGAAGCGACCAACATCCAGGTCCGTATCAGTAAAACAGGGCAGCCTCGGAGCTTCCAAGGTAGCAATAAACCGAGCGCATTGCAGCAACCTATATCTAGCATGCAGCGCCTGAGCCGCCTGCACCCGGATAGTCATCAGTGGACTGGGTGAACCGAGTCACAAACAAGCAGCAAAACTCGTAGGACTCTTGGTAGGTGTCACCGACCCAACAAGCAGCATGACGGAGGCAAAAACAGCGAGAGTCACCCTGAGACAAGGGGGACAGAGCAACCCTCAAACTTGCAGAAGGCAAGAGGGGACCCAGGGGTCGCATCCATCGGACCCCTTGCGCTTCCGCGGGGTTTCCCACAGCCCTTAGACAGGTATCGCTAAGGGTAAGCCCAGGCAGGGTACTGTGAACCGGCGCCCAAGTCTACCAATCAAACTGCTAAAAGCTGAACCCCCGGGACATGTTTACTCATGGGGGCCGAGCAGGGGAAGGGGTACCACCCAGAACACAGATATGGCTAGATCCTAATATAGAACAGAGGCAAAGAACCAAAGGCAGACCCCCCCACCAGGCAGGAACAAAAAACAAAAGAAAAACCCCGCAAGAGGACAACGTATCCAGGCGGAACAGAGCCGGCCGCTATAATAGGTGATAACAAATTGTGAAGTACTCAGTGCCCCTATCAGTGCAAACTACCTCTTACCCAAGGTAAACCAGGGAGGAGAAAACCTCCAAGCACTCCCAGGGCGGTCAAATACTGAGCATCAAAAGACCAACAGAGATAGACCCCAAGGTGACTTGTGGAAGATAACCCCAAGCCCCAAGGGGAGTACTTACAAGGCGCTCAGGTAAGGGAATCCTAAGCACATGCAGTCTGAGTACCTGTGAAGATTACTCCAAGCTCGCACACCACCCTGAAGACAGCATTTGATAGAAGGCACAGCACTGAGAACAAGAAACTGGAGCTGAAGTCACACAACCAAGCCTCAAACACACCAGCCAAGAACTGGGGTGTGGGTAGCCAGCATTAGGGGTCTGGAGCTCCCCCTTCCCCCTCCCGGGGAGGGGGGAGCTGCACAGACGGCAGTGTGGCTCATGATGATCTCGTGCTTGTTTGCTTGTTTTTCTTTGAGGAGTTCTGTCCACTCATTTGACTTTTAGTAGTAGTTTCAACCAGAACAAGCATAACCAGGTCATGCTTGTTTGCTTGTTTTTGGATTGGGAGTTCTGCTTGATAGTTCGGTTTTCAGTAGCAATTTTTAACCAGGTGGCGTTTGTTTTGGGATGCTTATCTTTCTGGGTGCCTGACCCGGTCGACGACAGACATAAAATGCTCCAAATCACGTGCGCAATTCTATAGGCTATTGCTCCTCATGCCTCTCTGAGGGCCAAGTTCTGGCTCATGGTCCCCAGTAGGCCTAAGAACTCCATTCACACTGATGCCAAAATCTAACATATCCATATCAGCCTGGATAAGCTCCGAGGAGCCGAAGGGGCTTTCCCCCAGAAAAGGGTCCAAGGATGTTCCAGTAATAATGATAATGGAAATGGATAATGGATCCAGTAATAATGGATAATGGTGATAATGGAACACCTAACTAAATTTATTTACACTTCAAAACAGTTCTTCCATGAATATGATGCAACAACATTTGAAAGACTGACAGTAATTATCAACAACAGGGGTGAACTGTATATTACTGTTAATGGACACAAAATGACCATGCAGCTGATACAGCCTACAGCCCAGAGTTTAACAAATTAATTATTGAGGAAAGTAAACACAGATTGATTGTAGCCAGGTGCTGAAAATGTGTTAGTTAATCAGTGCCCAAGAAAACAATGAAGAGCTTAAGTTTACACCATCACACACATTTATGACATCTCTTTCATAAGCCGGGTTCGCCCATACGTCTGGCAGAGCCAAATGAATGAGCCGGTGTCAACCATCCATTCAGTGGATAGGGGAATACTGTATTATTGTATTGTACTCTGAAGACTTATGCTTATCAGCTACAAACATAAAACAAATTTACACATACCTACCTTTATTGCACCCTCATGAAGCCTCCGAGCCCGAGAGTAGTACCCTAAACCTGTCCAGACTTGGTTGACCTCCTCAAGGGATGCACTGGCCAAATCTGCCACACTTGGCCATTTTCTCATCCATTTTTCAAAGTAACTGATCACTGTACTAACTTGAGTCTGCTGCAACATTACCTCAGACACCCAAACTATAAAGCAAATATTATAATTTGAAACAAAAGCACTATCAGTCAAAATAATTTTGGCAAATAGTAATCTAGTCACTGTGATGTTAGTGGGAAATTTGTACTTACTGGGATTATAGTCTATAAAAGAAGTGGTATTGTGTTGGCTTAACCCCTGCACTGTGCACCTTTTTAAATGACATTCCCATGGTGTGCCAAAAATAAATTGTTTAAAAAATCAGCATTGAATGTAATGAAACGACATTTTCTGGGCGAGTCCCGGAGGCTCCCCAGAGCTTACCAGGCAGATAAGTATGTATTAGACCCTGGCATCAGTCAATTCAATGGGAGTTTTATGCTTACCGGGTACTACGAACCAGAACCTGGCCCTTCCCCCCTCAGAGAGGCACGAGGAGCAATGGCCTATAGAAACCCTCCATGTGGTTGGAAGCATTCCATGTCTACCATCGACCGGGTTATGCACCCAGGAAGGTAGGCATCCCAAAACAAACACCACCTGGTTAAAAATTGCTACCTAAACCCGAACTATCAAGCAGAACTCCCAATCCAAAAACAAGCAAACAAGCATGACATCACAACTACCACTGCAAAGCTGTATGCCCAGCTCCCCCTTCCCCAGGAGGGGAAAGGGGGAGCCCCAGATCCCTGCAACGGCTATCTAACCTCAGTTCTGAGGCTGAATATAAAAAAATGCGAATACTGGCGACTGGAGGGAGGGAGGGGTGCCGGGGAGCCTCCGGGACTCACCCAGAAAATGGCGTTTCATTACATTCAACGGTAGTTTTCTGTGGAGTCCCCCCTCCGGCTCCACAGAGCTACCTAACCACAGAAAATAAAAGAGAGACTTACCCAGGAGGCAGCCGCTACTCGCACCTCAACTTGAAGTCTAGACAACCGGTTGTAACCTGCAACCCAAAGTGACACACAACCGACTAGGGTCAGGAACATTAACGAGGTAATGGGTGGCCAGGACCCTGTTCGACCTCCAAAATCCTCGTGCCCATGAGCACGAGGATAAACCGCAGGCTGGCTGGACCGAATAACCCTGCAGACGACCTGGGAGACCCGAGCCCTGGAACAGGGAAGTAGGGAAACCGGGTCAACCCAAAGTGTGTCCCCAGTCATCGATGCCATGGCATGCAAATAACGGTGAAGAGCCGCAACTGGACCCAACACATGATGCACCCCCCGGCCGAACCAACCAAGCATCAACCACCCAAGAACCACTTCGGAAAGCTGCTGTCTCGTTCTTTGCCAGAAAAGAAGCACACGGCTGCAAACGAACAAATCTACCACCAAGACCAAAAAAGCAAAAAACCCCTGCTCCCAAGGAGAGCATGAAGCTCCCCTATCCAACTCCCCCCAGAGGCCAATGCCAACAAGAAAAGAGACTTGTCAAAACAATCCTGAACTAAAGGGGCCACCACAAACCTAGGAGAAGATAGAAAAGAGAATGCCCAGTCCAGCGACCAGGATGGCTCAGGCGGCAAATGAGCAGGCCGGAGGTGAAACAATGTATGAGACAGCTTGCGAAACGGAACGGAAGTATCATCCACCCCGAACATAAGTAGGGGTGGCTTCACCAGCACCGCACAATATGAAGGGACAGTATTTAGCATAAGATGACGGTCCTGAAACAACTAAGAGAAGGTACAAGACAACCCGATCCGAAATCGAAGACAACCTACGAAGAGACAAAAAGTAACAAAAGGACTGCCAGGAGACTACATACTGCCGCCGAAACGAAACGTGCAAGTGAGACACCATCAAAGAAGCCACCTAATCACCATACAAATGGTGATAAACCTGCGTCAGAAAGACCAGATGCGAAGATCGGAGGAGAAGATCAAATCAGCCATGTATCAGACTGGACCAATCTGCTGAAAAGGATGGAGCCGCAGAAAAGTACCCAGGTCAGACACCGAGCAAGCAGTGCCGGAAACCAAGGCTGACCAGCCACCATGACTACTCTCCCCTAGTAAGTCTCCAAACAAGCCAAAACCCGAAGCAACAACTGAACCGGCGGGAAGAGTTATAGGTATCCCCACCTCGACCAGTCCTGCTGAAAGTCGTCAACCCGCGCAGTCGGGGAAGGGCGCCACACATATACTAGGAGACGCCTCGACCACACTGACACGAAGAGGTCCACCACCAGGCGCCCATACCAGGCGCCCAAATGAATGAGCCGGCGTCAACCATCCATTCAGTGGACAGGGGAATGAACTGGGACAGGCCATCTATCAGGACGTTGGGTTTGGCGGTAGGACGTTGGACATCCCCTGAACGTGAACAGCCAGAAGAGCCAAACCCCAAGAACTCAGCAGATGAGTCACCCGAAGTGACCAACCCCAAAGAGCCAAGGACTGCATCAAATCCCCGTGGGTCAGGCAATGAACCACCAGGGATCAGTCCGAATGGAGCCGGATCGTCAATCTGTGAGGGAGTGATCCGTGACCCTCCGAAACAACATCCACACCGCAGCGAACTCCTGCACCATGCTGTAGGCACAACGGAAGGACGGACCCTACTGCCCCTGGCTGACCTGGTGAGCACTGGTCACAAAGCTCCTGCCAAGAGACGAACCCGTCTCCTGGCTTGCTCCGTGAACCCATCGAGCAAGGGCTCGGGTAGGCGTCAAGGAACAAAACCCCAAAAAAACGAAGAGGAAGCCAGCAATGCAGCAGTTGACACAAGGTACCCGTTGGCCGAACTCATCGATTGCGAGAGAGAGGCGGAAGGGACGTCCCCGAAGGAACCAGAACAGCCGCCGAAGCCAAACCCGACCTGGTGGGTAGACAATCAGAGCACAGTTCAGACTACCGCACAAACCCTCGAGCAAACGCATCCCTATTTCAATATAATTAATTTGTGTGTTTCTGTTGTTAACACCAAGTCTAAAATATTATTTTCCCGCGTTGGTTCCTTAATGTGTTGCGTAAGAAAGCAATCATCAATTAATTCTAGAAAATATTCTGCTTCATTATTCCCTGTTCTGTTAAACCAGTTCAGCAGGAACCCAAACCCAGCGAACTGTGAAAAAGGCAAATTCCTGGGGAGCAGACATGAGGACTGGCTGGGAGCCCACACCAGCCAGTGGTCGAGGTAGGCCAGAATCCGAACCCCTAAGAGATACAGACAGGCAACCATGGCCCGGGTAAGGCGTATAAACACGAGAGGTGCCAGATTCAAGCCGAATGGAAAGCAATGAAATCCATAAGCCTGACACCCCACAACAAAACCAAGCCAGTCCCTGAACCCCGGATGAATCAGGACGTGCCAACACACATCCTGAAGGTTCAAGGACACCATCCAAGCACCTGTCTACAAAAGGAGATGAACCTGGGACAGTAGTTATCCGAAAGAAAGGGCAATAGACCCAGGGGTTCAGACAGGACAAGTCCAGAATGAACCGCAGGTCCGCACAGTCCTGTTTTGGAACCGAAAACAGGTAGAAACCCACCTGAAAGACGAGGTCATTTCGACCACGCCCAAGCGAACACACACTCCAAGATGACCTGACTGAGCGCAGGAGAAGAGGCCTGCTCCACCAGCCCCAAACCCCCCGAAGGAGGAGAGGCCACCCAATGCCACCGCAGGTTGCAAGAAACGACCCAAAATGCCCACAAATCATGGGACCAGGCATGGCAAACAGCACGAGCCTCCCTCCATCGCCATGTAAATGGGACGAACCGCAAAAGGGCCGATGCCCCTTACGAGAAGCCGACCAACTAATAGAGCAATCACCATGCCACCCAGACATTGCCGGCTCAGAAACTGGCACCACTGATCCACCACGATGGGAGGAACCCAGAGCCCTGATATGACTCTTCTGGGAAGAATCCCCACACCGCACTCCCGGAGAACCAACAAGTCCGACATGGGACGACAACTAGAAGCTGCCACATGCAGATACTGCTCCATCGCAGACTCTGCAAACAGCAAAGGACAAAAAGGCAAAGAAAACCGAAGAGCCAGGGCCCAAGCGGATTCCAAGGACTGAACGAGCACTGCCTGATGGCATGTGAGACGAGAAACAAAGAACAGAGGCACCACCTCCTGCAGGATCAGCGCAAACTGCTTCAACAGCGCAGCCAATGCCTACACTGCCGAGACCAGCGCACCAGACCCAGGAACAGCACCCAGCACCTCCACATCCTCCAGTCTGAAGACAACTCGAGAAGGGAAAAGAACTGCAGGACCAAAGCCAAATAGCCACATCACGCAAGTCCTCAGCCACCAGTCGCCAAACAGGAGGGAACCTACATGTGAAGCTACAGCTGGTCGATGTCCCACGGAAGGATAGGGGCGAACAAACACACATTGAGGCATTCTAACACACCCCAAGTTAAACCTGAACAATGGTAAGCCTCTCGTCACTCAAGCGTGCGGGACCGACAGTACGTATGCCAGGCCCCCAACGAAAAGATCGGACAGTCTGCCAACCAGTTCGACTCTGGAACCTCGTAACGAACCCAGTACGGAAAAGAAGAACCGAACTCAAAAGAGGCAGTATCAATTATCGAGGCATAATTTGGGTCGAGCTGGAGGTATACCACAATGGCCTCCTGCACCTCATGAGGTGGGATGCGGAATCCAAACACCTCTGGAAAAACGGGGCCAAAATACCCAAGGGAACCCAAAACCAAAGACGGGGAGTGGCTGACGCCATGTCAAACTCGTACAAGGAGTGGGGAATAAGAAAACTCCACCTCCTGCAACAACAAGCCCCGCTCAGAGGGTACCAAAACTCAAGCAGGGTCAAACGGGGCCCCAAGGCCCTCAAGTCAGCCCCTCCCCCACCCCAGAAACTTCCACATCAAGACCTAGGGCTGAGCTGTCCTCCGAACCCTCCGCCTCAAAAGAAAAGGCAGAAGCTACCGGAAAAGCTGGAACGAAGGAAGCCCACTGGTCAGACCCAGAAGCACCCGTTGGAGGAGCGGGCTCGAATGCCTCTGTAACCACACCTGATAGAGCATCCCCTGAAACTGCCCGAATCTCACCAACTGCCCCAACTCCAAAACTCTCAGATGCTTCGGAGCCGGAGGCAAGGGGAAAGGAGGAAAAGGACGAACAACAGCAGGAGAAAGACAAGGGGGGGGGGGGGGTGCAGACGAAACCAAAGTCGAGGCAACTAATACCCAAAGTCCGGGTCCCATAACCAAAACAGGGCAGCCTCGATGCATCCGGGTGAGCAACCAACCTAGCGTGCTGCAGCAATCTATAATGTGCATGCAATGCAGAAGCTGCCTGCAACTGACTATCAAAGGCAGAGGATTGGGTGAAGCGGAGTACAGTGGTACCTCAATTTACGAATTTAATCCGTTCCCAGAGATGGCTCGAAAGCCGAATATTCGTAAACTGAAGCGAATTTGCCCCATAAGAAATAATGTAAATTCAATTAATCCATTCTAGACTCTCCGAAAAATTTACTTCAAAGTCAATTTTATACCTAATTCACCCAAATCTTCAGTTCTAAAGTATGTACAAGTTATTACTTACCTTTACTGATGACTCTTGTTGGAGTATGGAAGACGGTGAAGAGGGGGGAGGAGGAGAGGTGTTAGTGTTTGGAGGGGAAGTCCCTCTTCCATCATAACATCAGGCAGTGATGACTTCTCTGGGGTACACTCTTAGGCACATTTTGCCTGCATACCACTAGGACCTGCTTGTGGCTCACTACTTGTTTTCTCACTAAAAACCTGTCTAGCAACACTTGTTTTTCCCTATATTGTAACACTTGTCTGAAGTGAGACATCACATTGTCATTAAAAAGGTTAACACAACAGTCTGCTACAGCTTGATTTGGGTGACACTTTTCAGCAAAACTGTACAATTCTTCCCATACCGCACACATTTTCTTAATAAATGAGGAAGGAATCATCCTCTACTCTACATCAACAACCCTCATACCATTTTCATGTTTACGGATGATCTCTTGTTTTTCCTCTATGGTCATTCTCGCATGTATTTTCTTGGCTTGAACTTTACCATTGGCTTTCTTGGGACCCATGGCGAGATATATAATAAATTATATATTCAAATACCCAAAAAAATAAAAAAAAAATAAACTAATTCTTTACAAAGAATTCAGGCGCAATTGTCACTAGGCGGGAGGCACTGGAAAACTGAGGTGTGATCGCCATGCCACTATGCACTAGGTCGGCCATACACGTATCAACAAACTTCGTTCTCAAAGCAAAACTTCTAACCCGATTCGAATTTTACAAAGAAATTGGACTCGTAACCTGAAAAGTTCGTAAATACAGTAGAGGCATTCATAAGCCGAGGTGTCACTACACGCAAGTAACACCACTCACAGGTCTCCAGGTCAAAGGTGTCACTGACCCAACAGGCAGCATGGCAAAGGAAGAACAGGTGATTGTCACCCCGAGACAAGGAGACAAAGCAACCCTCAAACTTGCATGAAGCGAGATGGGACCCAGGAGACACATCCATCGGACCACTGAGCCCCAGTGGAGTTTTCCAGGACCCTTAGATGCTCTGCTAAGGAAAGCCCAGGCAAGGTACTGCTAATCGGCGCCCCAAACTACCAAACAAACTGTTAAAAGCTGAACACCCGGGACACGTGTTCACTCGCTGGGACCTAGTGGAGAACCACCAATATAAATAACAGGTACCAACACCAAGGGGCAGACCTCCCCACCAGGCAGGAAAAAACAAAAACAAAAGAAAAAACCCTGCGAGAGCACAACAACTCAGGCAGAACAGAGCCGGCTGCTGTATTATGGTGAAAACAAGCTGCACAGTACCTTGTGCCCCTACCAGTGATGAAACTACCTTTTATCCAGAGACAAACAGTTGTGCATGAAACACACCAGCTGACCCCAAGGGCAGGCAATCACCGAGCAGCAAATGACCTCAGCGGAGGTAGCCCTCAAGCGACTTGTGGAAGATAACCTCAAGCCACAAGGGCAGTACTTACAGGGCAACTAGGGAAGGTAACCCTAGGCACATGCACCAGAGTACAAGTGAAACTACTCCTGGCTCACACACCACCACTAGGATAGGATCACACCACAGAACTTGGGGTGTGGATAGCCAGCACAGGGGTCTGGGGCTTCCCCTTCCCCCTCCAGGAGAGAGGGGAGCTGTGCAGACGGAGGCGCGGTGGTGGTTGTGATGTCATGCTTGTTTTTTATTCGGGAAGTTCTGTTCTGTGCAACAGTTCGGCTTTCTGAAGCAATTTTTTAACCAGATAGGATTTGTTTTGGGGAGCCTACCTTTCTGGTTGCCTGACCCGGTCGCTGGCAGACAGAATGCTTCCAACCACACAGGGGGTTTCTATAGACCATTGCTCCTCGTACAATGGGGGCTCAGAGTCTGGCTTGTGGTCCCCGGTTGGCCTAGAACTTCATTCGCTTTGACTGATGCCAGGGGTCTAATACATTCATATCAGCCCGGATAACTCCTGGAAGCCAAAGAGGCTTCCCCCAAAAATGCAAAATACAGCATTTGAAAGCCCAAAATGGGTCCAGAATAATATACTGTAGACCAGATTTTTAAGGTTGTACTACCGGTATATTACTTATTACTCATTGCTACAGTATATACAACATAACAAACAGCACTCTTGCCTGCATATGCTCTTTTATTGAGGTCCGGTTCAGTGGCCGCAACAGAACGCCAAGGTAACACTCGGTGGTTGATGTCATACCACGTTAGTAACTTATCTCGTACTTCCTTAACCTCATTTTCAGTGAACTGGTGTAAGCTCCCTACTGTAGATGAAGACATTTTTTTGACACTCTTCACCATTACTGAAATTCCCATAAAGTACATAATTAATATTTGCACATGATTTGTTATAAATAAATAATAAAACTACAATTTACTTCAGTTGAAACAATAAATTTTATGAATGATAGTAAAACTTAGCTTGGTCAAGAATTAGGATGAAGAAATTCTTAAAACAAAATGGGTATTTATGGTGTAAACAGTACTTGTTGCTGAACTTATAATTGTAGCCAAACTAGTTTAATCATTCAGCTTATTGCTATCACTTAACAATAGGCCCATGTTAACAGTATCTGTTTGATTATTATTTTGAATTTAAGAATTCTTGATCCAACTTCATTTAACAATAAGTTTGCATAATCTCAGAGTAAATCAAGTGTATCTGGTTGCTAACATAATAACAATTTAATAATAATGCACGCAATACTGTACTATACCACTTCATGTCCTAGCCAAATGAGCTTTAGAATAAGTACAGTATAATTATTATTATTTTTTTAAATTAATAATGTGGGGTCAATGTAGCTACAGTATGAAGGTAATTTAAAATTTAATCATGTTTATTCATAAAGGCCAAATAGGTGACTAGCCAACTAGATAAAATTTGAAGAACCTGTCATCAAAATTATTGCAGTAGCTTAATTATTATGCCAGCTGTGATTTCCAACTGTCTTTATATTTCAGATTAACAGCAGCCTGCAGATCAAGGTTAACCTCCAGACCCCAGTGACCTGTAGATCAAGGATAACCTTCAGACCACAGTGACCTGTAGATCAAGGGTGACCTTCAAGACCCCAGTGACCTGTAGATCAAGGATGATCTTCAAGACCCCAGTGACCTGTAGATCAAGGGTGACCTTCAAGACCCCAGTGACCTGTAGATCAAGGGTGACCTTCAAGACCCCAGTGACCTGTAGATCAAGGATGACCTTCAAGACCCCAGTGACCTGTAGATCAAGGGTGACCTTCAGACCACAACAGCCTGCAGATCAAGGTTGACCTCCAGACCCCAGTGACCTGTAGATCAAGGATGACCTTCAGACCCCAGTGACCTGTAGATCAAGGATGACCTTCAAGACCCCAGTGACCTGTAGATCAAGGGTGATCTTCAAGACCCCAGTGACCTGTAGATCAAGGGTGATCTTCAGACCACAACAGCCTTTAGATCAAGGGGTGACCTTCAGCATGAGAGAACAGAATTTTACGACTTGGTGTCATTATTTATTGTCTCAGTGACATGTTTATTTCATTGATTTATTATTGTCTCAAGCATCATGTGATTAATCATTGTGCTATTAATTTCAGTGATGTATATATTGTTGTGTGTCATTGATTGTGTTATTGTGCATTTCATGGAATTGTTGTGTACTGCTCAAGTGTCCTGTACTGAACATCAATTAATGTCCCTTGATACTGTAAGTGTCATTATGCAGAAATTGTCAGTGTTCAATTAGTTAAGAATTGATCAATGCAAGAGGGCAGAGACTGAGTGTCTCCTCATACTAGTGCAGTGGGAAATAATTCCTGCTGTGTATGGTTACATAGTTTTGTTGTAACACGAGTTTAAAGTAAAGTCAATCTCTCTGTGCATTAGTTAGTTTATTGATATAACCAATTATTAGTACCAGTGTCTTTCCATCAGCATTTTCCTAAGTACTGCCCACAAACTTAATTTACCATTGTCAATACAAAGCTATATGTTGGTACTAACTCCAGGTATTGAGACCCTATTGCCTGAAAACACACACAAACTAAATTTTTTATGTGAGAACCCCTTGAAATATGTTATATTTTTCTAGAATAGCTCTTACGCATTGAAGGTAGGCTAACACTCCAGTGATAGGAGATACCTGCATGTTCACCTGGAGGCTTACATGGTTTGATACCATTTCTCTACTTAAGGTACAGCAAATCTTTGCAGCTGCACTCACATATCTTGATCAAGGGCGACCCTCAGGCCACGGTGGCCTGTGGATCAAGGGCGACCCTCGGGCCACGGTGGCCTGTAGATCAAGGGCGACCCTCGGGCCACGGTGGCCTGTGGATCAAGGGCGACCCTCGGGCCACGGTGGCCTGTGGATCAAGGGCGACCCTCGGGCCACGGTGGCCTGTGGATCAAGGGCAACCCTCGGGCCACGGTGGCCTGTGGATCAAGGGCGACCCTCGGGCCACGGTGGCCTGTGGATCAAGGGCGACCCTCGGGCCACGGTGGCCTGTGGATCAAGGGCGACCCTCGGGCCACGGTGGCCTGTGGATCAAGGGCGACCCTCGGGCCACGGTGGCCTGTGGATCAAGGGCGACCCTCGGGCCACGGTGGCCTGTGGATCAAGGGCGACCCTCGGGCCATGGTGGCCTGTGGATCAAGGGCGACCCTCGGGCCACGGTGGCCTGTGGATCAAGGGCGACCCTCGGGCCACGGTGGCCTGTGGATCAAGGGCGACCCTCAGGCCATGGTGGCCAGGCCACTGTGGACATTCAGACCACAGTGGCCTGTAGATCATGGGGTGACATTCACACAACAGTGGCCTGTAGATCATGGGGTGACATTCACACAACAGTGGCCTGTAGATCATGGGGTGACATTCACACAACAGTGGCCTGGAGATCATGGGGTGACATTCACACAACAGTGGCCTGTAGATCATGGGGTGACATTCACACAACAGTGGCCTGTAGATCATGGGGTGACATTCACACAACAGTGGCCTGGAGATCATGGGGTGACATTCACACAACAGTGGCCTGTAGATCATGGGGTGACATTCACACAACAGTGGCCTGTAGATCATGGGGTGACATTCAGACCACAGTCGCCTGTAGATCATGGGTGATATTAAACCACGGACGTTTCCAGTTTCAATAATTTCAGAGCCAATTCTGGGATCTCTCAACCTTCACTCTATTAACTCCTTCCAGCTCCATTTAACACCCAAATACAATAATAAACATAAATTAATCCAACACATGTAAAATATTCGAGTGTTACCTTAATATGGAGGAGATAATAGTATATGAGTGAGAGAGAGAGCAGGTGGAGGGAAGAGCCCAGCGTGTTGTTATTGTTGTGTCTGGCGCCCAGGGACACCCGGGTCATAACATTATGCTCACCATCCACGGATAATAATAATTCAAATTTTGATTAATTTTCTTTTATTATTATTAGCAAGCTTAGGTATGCACAGCAATATGCTGTTGCCCTATTATATATGAAAGATTACAAAGTGTAGACAAAAAACTCGCGAAAAGATAAAAATAAAAAGTCATACATGGGATCATGGGAGAAAATACCACCTCAATACAAAAAAAAATCAACTCTGACTAAAAATTTATTTATTTGTTTTATTTATATATATATACAAGAAGTTACATTGGGTTTATAAGAGTATATAGCATGATGTGTTTACATTCTTGTAAAGCCACTAGTACACACAGCGTTTCGGGACAGATAATATTAAGTAAGTAATTTCTAGCAAAATTTATAAAATGTTAACAGGTAAATTGTAAGAAAATTTGAGAGAGATTAGTAGGTATATTAAGGAACATTAAAGCACACTGAAAGCATTGATAGCTTGATTGATAATATGACAAAGGTTAGTAGGCACATTAAAGGACACTGATAGCACATATAAAATAAAATAAAAAATGTTTAATGGCAAAGTTGTTAGGCTTAGGTATATATATTGGAGATTGAGTTGCACACAATGTGTTCAATAACAACTATGATATAAGATGATATCAATGATTACAATGGTAAAATTATGACTTAGGTATATATAATGGGGGATTGGGTAGCACAAAATACAGATTTGATTTGCTTCCAAATAAGATGTAGTAGGTTTTTTCTATGTTTAGTGTGAGTTTGGTGTTTGACATCCACAAGTGGACTTTTTTAATTCATTGTTTACAACATTATTTAATGTGAGTGGGTTGGGGGTCTGAGTAGATGAGGGTAGTATCATCAGAAAACAATATAGGTTTAAGCATGTTAGAGACATTAGGCAGATCATTGATGCATATAAGAAATAGGAGAGGTCCTAGGATGCTGCCCTGTGGCACCCTTACGGTTAATGGTCGAGTGGGAGAGGTTATATCATTGATGGCTACATATTGGAAACTTGCCCGAAACGCTATGCGTGCTAGTGGCTTTACAAGAATGCAAATTCAACTTATTTTCTATGTTCTCTGTTAACCCCCAATGTACCTTCTTGTATATAAATAAATAAATAAATAAATTGGTATCTCACTAAGCTAGGATCGGATAAAGTTCAGGGCAATGCCTCGGATTCCATAATGGTGGAGTCCAAGTAAGAAGTAGTTATGGTTAACAGTATCAACAGCCTTTCTCAGGTCAATGGAGAGTCCAATCGGAAACTCACTTTTGTCAAGGGTTGAGTAGATTAAATCAAGCAGTCTAACAATTGCATCATTGGTACTCTTTTGGGACTTTTTTTTAATTAGGTGAGAACATAAAAAATAATGAAGAACTACAAATTAATGGTGTAACACTTGAATGGGTTGACCACAATCAATACAATACAATACAATACAATTTTATTTAGGTAAGGTACATACATACAATAAATATTTACAAGGATTGTTTAACTTATAGGTATAGCTAGTACATACAATGCCTAAAGCCACTATTACGCAAAGCGTTTCGGGCATGATAAACTTAAATGACAAGCTTAATACTAATTGAGCATAATGAGTAGAATGAAAACAAGAAATGAAAAAATAGATGAAAAAGCAGCACAAATACAATTATGTCGACAAACAGCGCTCTTTAAAGAAAAAAACAGACATTGGTTAACAATAGAAGGGTAAGGTAGGTTACAGGGAATTTATTAGGTATAGCTTCGCTTTTAACTTAAACTGGTTGAGAGAGGTACAGTCTTTAACATGGTTGGGAAGGTCATTCCACATTCTGGGCCCCTTGATTTGTAGAGCATTTCTAGTTTGATTAAGTCGTACTCTAGGAATATCAAAACTGTATTTATTTCTGGTGTGATGCTCATGGGTTCTGATACAACCTTCTATGAAGCTTTTGAGATCAGGATTGGCATTATAGTTTAGCGTTTTATATATGTATAATACACATGAGAGAATGTGCAGTGACTTAATGTCTAACATATTCGGTACCTTGGTACCTTGGCGTCACTGTCGGCTCTAACAAGGGGAAGAAAGGGGAGCTCAACCAACTCAAAGGAACATGCAAAAGTCTACTCAGGGCACTAAAAGTAATGATCTGGAATGGACATGGAGCCTCTATTGCTGTGCTTAAAATGATGTATACAGCCTATGTCTGCTCCGTCATAGACTATGCCGCACCAGTGTTGTGCACTTATTCCCAAGGCGATATGAAAAAACTTGAAAGCATACAAAATGAAGCCATGGCAATCATTCTTGGAGTCCCAAGAACTGCCAAAACATCTAATTTACGAGAGGAGTTGTCCCTCCCCAGTGTTAAAAGCCGAATTCAGGAACTGAATGCTATGCTTGCAATTAAGATAGCCAGAGATCCTCATTACAATGATATCGCCAAGAAAAAACTGAGTTCTGTGCTACTTTCAGGGGGAAACAGGAGAAGCAAAAAATGGCATCACAGATCAGTCTGCTACCTCGAAGAACTTCACCTGCTTGAGCAAGCTCGTGAGTTCCTGCCTGTAGAGAGGTTACCTCCCTGGGTGGATGACCCATGCAGAATCATCATCATCAATGAAATGGCAACAAAAAAGTACAACATGATAGCTCAAGAAATGAGACACAATTATCTCGAGGAAATCTATAAAGAAGCCGGAAAAAAGTTAGATCTAATCTTCACTGATAGGTCATCTAACCCTGTCAATGGCAGGGCTGGTGCAGCATACACTGTAATTAGGAATAATGCCCTACAACGTGGAAATGAAGGAAAAGCCCGTATTGAGAACTATGCCTCTTCAACACAAGCGGAGCTAACTGTCATTGTTATGGCGTTAAGATTCCTTGAACGGAGCACTAACGGTGCAGTGATCTGCACTGACTCTAAAGCAGCGCTACAAAACCTTACTAAAAATTGGGCAGAAAATCTTGCGATAGTCGCTGAGATCAAGAGAGCTGTGAGGGTACTAACCAATCAAGGATGAGTTGTCAAATTTATGTGGATCCCCTTCCTATGTTGGAATCTGTGGAAATGAACGAGCAGATGTACTGGCTGCTCAAGGAGACCATATTTAATACTTCATATTCAAGACTCCTCTACAAATTAGAGGTATTGTCAGGCAACATCACCGTAACAAGGTAACTGAGGAAAGGAGGATAGAAGTACAGATCAGTGAATCTGTATGCTGGTACAAAATGGTTGCAACTGGCAATCACAATCATTATGGACGAAGAGGAGGTGGCCGCGGGAGAGAATCAGTAATAGCGAGAATCCGTCTTGGATACAAATATCCATGGAGATTCGGAATGGAAACAATAGTTGAGCAGCGGAGTTGCAGAATCTGTGATGAGAGTGATGGACACCGCCTTGACCACTACCTGAGAGAGTGTAGACATCTAAGTCATTAGAAATATGTGTAGAATAATAAACCCTACATTGTTTGAGTTAGGAAAACACTGTTTTTCAAATATTGATACTGTTCTTAAAAGATTTCCCCATTTTGCACTCGCAAGATAACGTAAGATTTTAAGGGTTGACGAATGTTAATCTTCTTGTTTGAGGAGCTGTTCACTTGAGACAGTTAAGCAAGTCCCAGCTGTGTCTGGCTACAAGTGACAGGATGAACAATCCAGCGGGTTTTCTTCTTCTTCATTCAAAATGATCTGCTACCAGAAATTTTAGCCAAATATCCCCAGTTTGCTAACTGTAGGTAGTAACTAAGTGATTGTAACCTATCCACCGCTGCCCACTGGATGGGGGGCGGTGTGCAAGACAAACATATCTATTGTGACACTAGCTCTCCACATATGTCAGTTGTTTTTAATTTAGAAATTGTACTTGTGGTCGATCTCGAACCCATTGTTGATGTGACGACTTATACTGAATTTTGTAACTAGCTCATCAAGATTGTAACTTGCTTACCTTACCTTGAGGTTACCTTGAGGTGCTTCCGGGGCTTATCGTCCCCGCTGCCCGGTCGTCGACCAGGCCTCCTGGTTGCTGGACTGATTGACTGCTTAGCTAAATGAATTGTGGGGTTCAGTCCCTGAGCCCATTATGTGCCTCTGTAATCTTTTTCACTACCGCCCACAAGATGGGTATGGAGTGCATAATAAATGAAAAAACTAAACTAAACTCTGTACTCTAATAAACCCAATGTACCTTCTTGTATATAAATAAATAAATAAATATATAAATAAATAAATAAATAAATATATAAGCCCCCCAGGCTTATTATAATATATACGCATGAACTACCTCAAACTCAACCTTAAGGGTCTAGCTCATCAAGATTGTAACTTGCTTAGTTAAATAAAGTGTGAGGTTCAGTCCCTGAGCCCATTATGTGCCTCTGTAACCCTTTCCACTACCGCCCACAAGATGGGTATGGGGTGCATAATAAAGGAACTAAACTAACTAACTTAAGGCCTTAAAAGAGGGTAAACTCTGGTTTCCCCTTCAAATTGAAATTAAAAAAAAATCACAATTCAAATTGTTTATTTTTGAATTTAGACGACCTGGATTCAAAACGCATAAATCTTACGCCTCAAAAGAATATAGGCACTAACAACTCACTCACATCCAGTTCACACAACAAATTAACATCCCATCATCAATCAATCACAGCATCTTCTAACATTCAAATTCTTAGAGACTGAAACCTCCTAGCAACTCATCCTCCATAGTCCCCCCTCAATCAACACCCAGCACCAATCCAGCCAACACAGAAAACGCACAGAATAATCACCCTCCTTACCCTATACTACAGCAAATTCAGCAAGCACCTTACCACCACCCCCCCCAACTCCGCAACTCCGGGTCCTCTGCAAGCCACACAGCAAACAGCCATAAAATCAAAAGGATTCCCGACTTTCTAGACCCACTACATCAGCACAAGGTGGCAAGAAAGTGAAGGCTGGGCAGATTGCATTTTCTTACTTTATCAGAAAGATGT